AAATTGTAATTATTTAATTTTCATTTGTGACAAATATTTTGCATCTGATGACTTGTAATGTTTAGAGCTTTGCTGGTAAGATTTAGGTGTTTCTGATTCTTCATGATTTTCATAACCATAATGAAAAAGGGTCTCATCTTTATTGTGTACAGTTTTGTTCTAATTTTTTCTTCACTGTGTTTAGAAAGGCCCTGTTTGGTATTTGCGTCTTGTTTTCACTCTGGTATATTGTTTTGTGATGTGATACTATTTATTGTCCCAAAGGGAGCATTTTACTTTCTTGTTCTAAGTCACATAGCTTTCTAGTGACTTCCCTCTCATTTCTCCCCTGCTTAATATAAAACCTAAGTGACAGAGCTTTCCAGATAGTCTCATAAATCTTCTCTGAAATGAGAAATCCTCAGCTTGAAGAGAACAGTGTTTTTCAGAAGTATTCTCTGCCATTTGGATTTTTGGATCTAGCTTTCATTTTTTATTAGATTCAGATTAGTAGTCACAATTACTAAGAATGAAATTGGGGAGCTGGGTGCAGTGGCTCACACCTGTAATCCCAGTGCTTGGGGAGCTGAGGTGGGTGGATTGCCGGAGCTCACAAGTTCAAGAACAGCCTGAGCCAGAGCGAGACCTTGTCTCCAAAAATAGCCGGGCGTTGTGGTGGGCGCCCAGCTACTGGGGAGGCTGAGGTAAGAGAATCATTTGAGCCTAAGAGTTTGAGGTTACTGTGAGCTATGATGCCATGGCATTCTACCGAGGGTGACAAAGTGAAACTCTTATCTCAAAAAAAAAAAAAAAAAAAAAATAAATAAATAAATAAATTGGGGAAGGAATTAAAATTTTCAAAGTGCTAGAACACATGTTATGACTGTTTAGTCAATGTGTTCAATGACCCTATGAGCTAAATCAGAGTTGTATTTGAGCAGCAGGCCGTGTGATTCCAAACTGCATTTTCTTTATACATTATTACTTTTTTTTTTTAAAAACTGGATGTCTTTTGTAGACCAGGACATTATATTACATTTTTGAAGGATAACAAGAAATACATTTTGAATAGCTAAGGAAAGTTTATCTCACTATAATAAGCAGTCCTGTTTAGAATCACATTCTGTCCAGTGTTAAGAAGGATGTAGAAATGGCGGCCTATGAAGACTTCCTAAAATAAGCTTATTCCCACCATGGTTAAGTTTGTCCAGTTACTGTAAGCAGGAGTTGGCAGCAGGAACCTGATACCCAGTGACTTGACTTTAGTCATAGGCGATCTTTACAATATGGGGAACTTGCCAGCATATAATTCAGGTACCTGTTTGGAGGTCTTGGTTGTCATCCTTCATCCCTTCTGCTCCGCCTGTGACAACTGTCTTAGATGATTTTTCACATGCTTCCCTTGTAGGGTTACCAGTTTGAGGAGGAGAACCCCCTGCGTGATCACCCTCAGCCTTTTGAAGAAGGGCTGCGGCGGCTTCAGGAAGGGGACCTGCCAAATGCTGTGTTGCTTTTTGAGGCAGCTGTGCAGCAGGATCCTAAGCACATGGAAGTGAGTGACTCATTTTTCGGATTTTGCACTAGACACTGCTTCCTCCAGTTTGTGGGAGGCCCCAAAGAGAGAAGTGCAGATGGCTCAGGGCCTGGGGATGGCCTAGTGTAGTGGCTTGAGAATGAGGTGGTGAGCCAGGGAGCCGGAGGAAGGGAGGATGGAAGGTGAATATAGGGGTGATGGAATCTTTCAACTTCCCTAGGCTTGGCAGTATCTGGGTACCACCCAGGCAGAGAATGAACAAGAACTATTAGCCATCAGTGCATTGCGAAGGTGAGTACACTGGAAGGTTGGATAAGGTGATTTCCTTTTTCTATAATTAAGAATGATAGAAGCCCAGACCTAGATCCTTATCTTCTTTCTGAGTACTACTGAGAGTATTTTTTTGTGGTGAAACTCTGAGGTTTCTGTTCTTTCATCAGCTTTTGATTTTATTTGTGGGACCTGGGTTGGTTCCTTGCCTGCTAAAACTTTTCCCTTTTTCAGATCTGTAACTTTATTACTAACTTGCATAGCAAAGGAATCCTAGGAATAAGGTGTCTCAGCCAGAAAAGGTTGGGGAAGTGAGGTCATCATGATTCTGGATTTCAGAACTTGGCTTAGACCCCAGAGTGCTGATTTTTGCCAGTGTCATTGCAGATACTAAGTCCTCTCATTCCTGTCCAAATAGGTGTCTGGAGCTAAAGCCAGATAATCGGACAGCACTGATGGCACTGGCTGTAAGCTTCACCAACGAGTCCCTGCAGCGACAGGCCTGTGAAACCCTGCGAGACTGGCTGCGCTATACACCAGCCTATGCCCACCTAGTGGCACCTGCTGAAGAAGGGGCTGGTGGGGCAGGACTGGGCTCCAGCAAGCGTATTCTGGGGTCTCTATTGTCTGAGTGAGTGTGAGGGCTTCAGGGGTGAGGTATTATGGTAGTCAGATTTAGTAGGAGAGGGACCTTGATTTTGGAAGTTTGACTAGATTGAGACTCAAAAGGGTCCAGAGAATGGGATGAGAAATCCAAGATAACCTTAAAGGAGGTCTGAATTCTGTAGTGCAGTGTGGGATGAAATATAAAAACAGGATGGCTGATGGCTAATAGATAGATAGATCTTGGGGATATGATTGACCAATTAAGGAATTACTTGGGGGCAAGGGTAGGAATATAGACATATCCATCTGCCTACATTTTTATGTTTTTTCTCCTTGTCCAGCTCCCTGTTTCTTGAAGTGAAAGAACTCTTCCTGGCTGCTGTGCGCCTGGACCCTACATCCATTGACCCTGATGTGCAGTGTGGCTTGGGAGTCCTTTTCAACCTGAGTGGGGAGTATGACAAGGCTGTGGACTGTTTCACAGCCGCCCTCAGCATTCGTCCTGATGTGAGCCTGGGGAGGAATGGAAATAAGACACGGCTCTGTATCTGACTAAAGATTCATTTGTTGGGAATCATGTGATATTTAATTACATCATTCCTTATACTGAATACCTTGGGAGGATTGGGAAAAGAAGGGTGGGATCCAGGGTCATTTGGACATAGGACGTCTGCATAGGAGGACAGGGTTCCATTAAGGCCACACAATGAACTGTTGAGAATGGAAGGGGAAAGTAACACATGTTAGCTGAACAGAGCAGCGAAGCAGGAGGAGGAATGGGCAGACTGTGATCTGAGCCTGGCTTATGTTCCCAACCTTTCTCCATCCCTATCCCAGGACTATTTGCTGTGGAATAAGCTAGGGGCTACCCTGGCCAATGGCAACCAGAGTGAAGAAGCAGTAGCTGCATACCGCCGGGCCCTGGAGCTTCAGCCTGGTTATATCCGGTCCCGCTATAACCTGGGCATTAGCTGTATCAACCTTGGGGCTCACCGGTGAGAATATCTGTTGAGAAATGAATGAATGAACTTCTTCCTGACTTTGGCCCTAGTTCCTCATTCATTGAGCTGGTCCCTTGACTAAGCAGGTACAGCTTTCTCCCCATGCCAGCTGAGGCACCTCCTTCCATTGTTGTTCTGCTCATGAGCTTCATTCCTCTTCCTTACAGGGAGGCTGTGGAACACTTTCTGGAGGCCCTCAACATGCAGAGGAAAAGCCGGGGCCCTCGGGGCGAAGGGGGCGCCATGTCAGAGAACATCTGGAGCACACTGCGTCTGGCATTGTCTATGTTAGGCCAGAGTGATGCCTATGGGGCAGCTGATGCTCGGGATCTGCCCACCCTCCTAACTATGTTTGGCCTGCCCCAGTGACAATGGGATGGGCTGCCTTGTGAGTGTTTGTCTGGAGGGGTCCCCGCTCTGGACGTGACTCCCTCTCCCCAAATGTGCCTACCAAGGGGGTGGGCTGATGACCCTAAGCGGTACGGCCTTTCAGGAGCGGCTGCCTCAGTGTAGGAGTGGGTAGTCTGTGTTCTAGTTCCTACGTAATTGTAGGGAAACAAGCTGTGTTGTCTCTAAGTCCCTTGGTAATTCAAGGGCTGCACATCCAGGCAGATCTTTCTGCTCATCTTGCCCTTTCTTGGTGCTGCTTTTGGGTAGGACCCAATAATTTAGGGTAACTGTTGTCATCAGCTGCCATTTCTGATAGGTAGAATGTCTCCCCTTTCCCCGACTTCTGCTAGGAGTTGGTAATAGTCTAGCTCCTTGGGCAGTTGTATGTAAGAGATTCTTCTGCCATGCCCCACCATTGATGACTATCTGGGATGGGACGTGTTAGGAGTTGGTCTGTTTGATTGAAATGTTGATTTGGCTCAGCAGAGCTGAATTTTGGTAGGGGTGCTCATAGTTCTTTTGCTCTTGAACCTCTCTTGGCTTTGAACTCTGATTCCCTGTGAGTACAGTGGTGATACAGTAGGGCTAGTAGCATTAATCCTAGCGGTCCTCAGGAACTACCAGGGTCAATTGCTACAGAGCGTGTTTGGTGTGGGGTAGGAGGAATGCTCATTTGTGAAATGAACCTGGTGGGGACAGCGGGGATCAGATCAGGGGCTCTGTCCTGGGGCCTCTGGTGGGAGGGCAGAGCAAGTGGGAAGAGGGGTGTGATGAGTGCAGCAATCTGTCCTCTTAGACTGTGAGTAGGAATTGAGCTAAATCTTCTAGAAAGTTGGTTTAGAAATTATAGTCTTGCCAAATTTCTAGCAAAGTTTAGTGTTACTATAAGCCTTTGCTGTACTTCTTGAAATGTTCTAGGGGAGAGCATTGAAAAACCGTCTTCCTCCATGTTACCTACACAAGGTGAAGATGGAAGGAAGATGAAGAGGAGGGAGCAGCTTGGATTCTTCTCTTCTCACTTGTCCCCTGCACGGGGAGATACACTGACCGCCAGAAATGACTGCTAAGCCTCTTGCCTTGTCTTCAGTAGCTAATGATCAGAGGGATGTTTTTTTTAAACTACCATGGTCCCAAGGTTCCATCCTGAAATTTATTTTTCTTTGTATGAATATGTATAAATGATTTAAAATTAAAACTGTAAAATATTTGTATGAAGAATAAATGGAACTGATGTGGGCATGAGTTATGCTGCTGCTGGTCATGAAGCTGGGGAGGCAGGAGATGGGTTGGTGTTTGAAGGACTTTTTATGTTTGTTTGTTTTTTTGTTTTTGGTTTTTTTTTGAGTCACCCTTGGTAGAGTTCTATGGCGTCACGGCTCACAGCAATCTCAAACTCTTGGGCTTAAGCCAGTGGTTCTCAACCTTCCTAATGCTGCAGCCCTTTATTACAATTCCTTGGGGATGTGACCCACAGGTTGAGAACCGCTGGCTTCAGCGATTCTCTTGCCACAGCCTCTCAGTAGCTGGAACTACAGGCACTTGCCACAATGTCCAGCTATTTTTTTTGTTATTGTTGTCATTATTTCTAGTAGGCCCTGGCTGGGTTTGTACCCACCAGCCCCAGTGCATGTGGCTGGCACCCTAACCACTGAGCTATGGGCATCGAGCCATGGACTGGTTTTTAAAATTTTTTCTCTTTATCTTTCAGATTCTAATTAGTATATTGATTACCCATTCATCTATCTAGTAATTATTGAGCACCTAATGTCTGCTAGGTACTAAGGATCAGATGAGCAAGGTTCCTGTGTTTGTGGAGCTTCTGGATTGGAAGAAGACACAGGGGCCTAACAATCAGTTTTTATATGTGTGTTACTACTACAAAGGAAAGTATGCAGTGCTGTATAATCATGAGGTTGTTTTGTATTATGAATTATGTGGGAGGATTTTGATAGTTTTTCAGTGCATAAGGTAGCTAAAGGTTTTTATCTGGTTCTGTTAGGTTTTATCAGGAATTGCCTCAAGATGGGTATCTATCTTAAGGAAAAATTTAAAAACATAAACAGATATTTGTATTTAGAGATAGATGTCCATGGCCACATTAGGAATAGGAAAAAATGTCCTTTTTTTTTGAGACATAGTCTCACTTTGTTGCTCTTGATAGAGTTTTTTGGTGTTATAGCTCACAGCAACCTCAAATTCTTGGGCTTAAGTGACTCTCTTGCCTCAGCCTTCCAAGTAGCTGGGACTACAGGCGCCCACCACAACGCCTGGCTATTTTTAGAGATGGGAGTCTTGCTCTGGCTCAGGCTGGTGAACCTGTGAGCTCAGGCAGTCCACCCGCCTCAGCTTCCCAGAGTGCTAGGATTACAGGTGTGAGCCATGGCCCTCTTTTTTTTTTTTTTTTTTTTAAAGTAGGCTCAAAAAGCTGTAAAAGAAAATGTCTGAAAGAAAACTGGTTCAGGAAATTATCCATATAGTGAAATATTTAGTTACTGCATTTATGGAGTAATTTCTGATGACAATAAATGCTAACAATATGATGAGAAAAAAAAAGTTAGCAAATTATAATATTTATAGAGTCTCCGAAAAAAATTGAAAAAAGGCATAAGGAAACGCTCCAGTGTATTAAACATGTGAAGGTTATGAGTGATTTTCACCTCACTTTGTCATATTTCTTTGTAATTCCAAATTTTTCCCAGTGTGAGTGTAATACTTTTCTACATAAAATTGAAACACCGTGGGGATGGGCAGGAAGCAGCAGTGTCATCTGTCACCACATGAGTGATCACAGGGCAGTTGGTGTCCTGTGCTCTGAAGGGCTGTAGTGCAAAGCTTCGGGCGAGAAGGGAGCTGGACAAGTTCTCTTCATAGACATGAGAAGGAAGGAAGAAAGTGGCTGTGTAGATGGTTTCAGAATCAAGCTAACACCTGGTTTAAGCGTAGTCTTCAGGTTTCTCTACATCATCTGCTTTTGGTAGCATGATAGTGTCAAGTGGATCCTTTTCTTGCATGGTCTGTGCCAGGTACATCTTTTGAACCCAGACCAAACTTGGTCAGTATTACTGAGCCCCTACCATGTGCCAAGCACAGTTCCAGGCACCAGGGCTACCATCTACAAGGCAGACAAGTCTTTACTCTCATGGCTTACACATAATACACAAGTAAATCAGACAATTTCAGTTACAAGTTCTATGAAGAAATCAAAATGGCCCAGTGTACTTACTGGAGAGTGAAGGGGAGGTCTGGTGGGGGCAACCTTAGGGTGGTCAGGAAAGGCCTTTCTGGTGAGGCACCTGTGTGACTGAGTGGAGGCAGCCATGGGGAGTTGGTGGAAGAGATAAAGAAGTGAGGTCCTAGGCTTAGGGAGCAAATGTAAAGGCTCTGATCTAAGGTTAAGGTTAGAAGAGTGTATTCCAATGGGAAGAGGGCAGGAGTAGCAGCAGACCTGGGCACCTCTACTCCTGCCCCCCTCCACCTTCATAGCTAAGCATCTGTAGGGAGTGGGCTGTGCTCACGGCCTCTACTGGAGGCCATTCTACTCACATCTCTTTAACATTACTGTTTTCTGCTGAAATTACTTTGCTGAGGTCACCAAGGACTTCAGATTACTAAAGCCAATGGACATACTTATTTCTGATCTTACTTGACCTTACTGTGACATTTGATCCTGAGGCAGCTCTGCCACAGCTGGTTGTGAAGGTTGTGCTCTGAATAATTCTGTGCCATATGCCATAATTCTGTGTATAGTCCATACGATGAGGCTCCAAGGTGGTGGGCAGTATGCAATCCATATGGCTTATTCATTGGCCCCGCATTGATAACCACTCTCCTTTAAACCTTCCCAGCTTTTATTTCTTCTCCTAAGATTCTACTTCTCAGTCTTCTTTATGTCTCTCTGTCTGCTTTTAAAATATTGGTGTTCCCTAGGGCTCTGTTCTTGTCTTGTTTCTCTTGCTTTATAGGATCCCTTGGTGGCCTGGGATATATCCACACCTGTGGATAACACCATTTAAATGCTGACGGAAGTCCAGCCTAAATCTCTACCCCAGGTCTTAGATACATGGCATTGTTACTATGTCCTGTCCCCTCCCCTGGGATGTTCTCCAGCACCTTAAACTCAGCAGGAATTTTCTTCAGTTTGTATACTCTTGCAGATGCAGGCGAAGAAAGCCATGCGTGGATCTGGACTCCTTACGCTCCTCTAACAGTTCTGCAGGGTGTGCCTCCTCAGCATCGCTCACAGAGGTCCTCTGGTCTCTGCATCTTTATTGTCACTTCAGTGCAGGGGTTCATCATTCTTGGATTAGTGATAGCTTCTTGTTTCTTATTTATTCATTCTCCGATCCTTATCACAAATGAATTCTTAGACGTGATATGCATGTTGTCTCTTACCTCTGACTTCCCATGATTGTGCGTAACCTGGAGAAGTTTAATCAGTGCCTGAATACAAACTGGAATTGGGGGCTGAAGAATCAGGAAATGCAGAAGGAGCTGATCCAAGTGTGTTTTCATTCTTTCTTAGCTGGAGAAGGTGAATAGAAATTCTTGGTTGTTGTGTACCTTCCTCCCCCAGGGGTAAGTGCGCTGAGACAAAAGTACACCCATGGGTATTTTTCTGGAGGGCTCTGCCAAAAGAGCACTT